CTTCCTTATAGAAGATTGGGCCATCCTTGGGCTGGATGTGCAGACCCAGCAGGTCCCCCTTGGCTGGGTGCAGTGGCTCCCAGGAGCAAGACAGTGTGGGCCTTTAAGGAGCAAGAGGCTAGGCCTGTTGGGCAGAGAGGATGTTCAGGAGGGATGAGGAGGCAGTGTAAGGGAGGCGGCAGCTAGGAACAGCTGCCACTGTCCTTTGAGGCTTCTCTGCCACAGCAGTGGAGGCTGTGCCACACACACACACACACACACACACACACACACACACACACACAGCACTAGCAGCAAAGAGAGCTGCTCCAGGGCCACCAGCAGGCCCATTGCCCTTCCTGACCACACCTCTTTTAACTCACTTGTTGAGACACCTGCTGTGAATTCTTTCCTTCCAAGATTTTGACAAACCACACACACTTAAAATGCACATGCTTAACACCAGACTCGTACTTGAAAATCTGCAATATAAGTTACTTGTATCTGAAGGAATTTAAAAAGTAGGATGATGACACCTTTTCTAATAGGTTGGTTTTTTTGTTTGTTTGTTTTTTCAAGTTACTTTTTCTTTTTAATTCAATAGTGGTTGTGAATCACTCAACTGAATTTATGTTACATAATAGGTTGGTTTTTTGTTTGTTTGTTTGTTTCTAATAGGTTTTTGACGAGGTCCCAACAAACTATCATTTAGAATGTGTAGGTGGTACGTTTAAGGATGATGCTGGAAAATAATGACTATCACCTATCTCCACTAAGCATAAAATATGGCAGAAGAGTACTGGAGCTAAATGCTAGGGATCTGGGTACAGTCCTGGTTCTTTGGCTTATTAGCTATGTGAGCTGAGTAAGCCTATCGGCTCTCTAACTCGCTGTTTCTTTATCTCTTAGGTGCAGGGTGCAGCATGGGGAATGCCTATGTCTGCATGTCTAATCTCGAGGCCCGCTCACTCACACGGAAGATGGAAAGCTTCACGTGCTCCCGATACCCTTCACACCCAGCCCTGGCACACCCCTCATAAAGATCTGAGCAATACAATTAGCAAGCCCAAGCAATTTTACACACACACATATACACACACACACACACACATAAATTCTATACTCAGCAAATTAAGAATACATTAGAGAACACATGGTTCATGTGCTCTTTCAAATGCAATCCATGTAATAAGCCACTAAGGAAGTCTGGGTAAATTCCAGTGAATCAAGTGCACTCTGACTACAGGGTAGTAAGATTATAAATAAATGATGGAAAAGATAGCTAAAGGCAGAAAAACCTCACACTAAGATATCCATCTGTCCACCTTCCTGTCATTTTCATCCCAACTATTGAAAGCTGTTGCAAAAGTCTCACAGCCCTGCAGAGAAAACCCTCGCATCTGCTCCTCCACTCTGTCTACACTTCTGTTTTCTAGGTTAGTTCACTTCATCTCTCCAGTGATTCTCTGGAAAGTTCTCATCTCCCTACAAACTTAACCTACGACTCCTCCATCACTTTCAGAAGATGTCTCTTATTTCTTCACAAAGAAAAAGCAAAAGACATGGGGAGGGAACTCCATCTTCCCACACGAGCACACAGTCCCAGCCACATCTGCACCAATCCTCTCCTTCCTTTTTCCATAACAAACGCAGATGATTCCTCTTCTGTCCAACCTTCGACCAGGCTCTGGATTTCAGAAACCTCTTCCCCTTTTACTTTTTTAACAGAATATATTTATTCAGGGAAAGAAAGCTTCTGTCCAAGAGAAGGACAAAAGGGGGGCCCAAGCGGGTCATCTCCTCCTTTTAGAAACCATGGCCTACCTTATTACATTTTTAAAGTAACCCACCTTAACAATGCCCTCATAAGTGTCTCCTTTATTTCTACAATACTGAAGAATAATATCTTTATTTTTCTTTGCTGAGGTAGGGTCTTGCTATGTAGTTCAGGCTGGCCTCAGACTTTCAGTGATCATCCTTCCCCAGGCCCCACATGCTGGGAATACAGTGTGCACTGCACACCTAGATAAGGATAGTATCTGTGATCTTCCCAATATTAGTCTCTCTCTCTCTCTCTCTCTCTCTCTCTCTCTCTCTCTCTCTCTCTCTCTCTTTTGGTCTTCTTGAGAGGATTTCACCATGCAGTTCAGGCTGGCCTTGAACTCAAAGCAATCTTGCCTCAAGGGAGGACAATATCTTATAGGCACAACACAAAACCGGAATTTATAAGGAGAGAGTTAGACACATCAAAAATAGTGAAATTAAAATTTTCTGTTTGGAAAAAAAAAATACTAAGAAATGAAAAAGAGCAAATAATAAATTAGTTTTAAAACAAAAATGCAACTTTACATTCAAGAATTTATTCTTCTAGGGCCGGGGAGATAGCTTGTTGGTTTAAGCACCTGCCTGGCAAGCACAAGGTCCTTAGTTCGATCCCCAGTACCACATTAAAAAAAAAACCATATACATATATATATATATATGAATTTTATATATATATATACATATATGAATTTATTCTTCCAAAGAAGAGTCTTTAGTTATTTTGTGGGCAAAAACCTCTTTGCTATCTATAAGCCACCCTGTGTACAGTTACAGCAGCTCAAGCTAAACTATCTCTTAAGGCCTTCACATTTTATTTTAGTATTTCTTCTCTTCTCCTTCTCCTTCTTTCCTTTTCTGTCTTTCAAATTTTCCTTTACTAAGCTATTCCAGGGCAGATTGATCCCCCTCCTGTCTCTATTTGTATGCTCTCACATGATGGGTAATATATTCTTCATTTTTATCTAAAAAAAATTATTAGCATATACTTGCCATATATAATAATTACATTCATCATGGGCATTTGGTACATGGAAATTATACATCTTAATTCCTTTTATGTCCCTTTATCTCCCCTCCCTCCCCTTCCCTTACTGCCTAGACCCCTTCCCATTACCAAAAAATCTAGCTCCCTGTGTCCTATTATCTTTCTTTTATTTTTCTCTTTAATTTACTTATATTTTGGCTTTCTCACATAAGAGAAACCATGTGGTATTTAAGTATATTTGTATATTTGATTTATTACACTTAACATTATGGTTTAAGGTATAGCTATTTTCCTACAATGATTCAAATTTATCCTTCTCTACAGAGCTCTTAAAAAATAAGATAAATGGCTCTAGCTTTTGAAAGAACACTTGATTTAAATCATAACAACAACAAAAAAGTATGACAAAATATTATGAGCCAGGCATGGTGGCACATACTTGTAACCACAGCACTCCTGGGAGGCTGTGGATGTAACTGAGGGTGTAACTCAGTACAAAAGCCCTGGGTTCAATCCCCAGAACTGCAAAATAAATAAAATATCATCATGACAAGAATCTAAAAGTCTGAAAAAACATAAAATAATCAAATATGTGCAGAGACAGGCATGCTCATTAAGTGGTAAGAAAATGAACGATTGAAATCTCTTTTCAGGCACTTTGACACTGTCTATAAGAATGTAGAATATATATATATATATATATATATATATATATATATATATCCTTTAACTGAACAATTCTATTTCTATAAATTATCTTCAAGAACACCCATCCAGAGCCAGGGAGATAGCTCAGTAGCATAAGCACCTCCCCGCCTAGCAAGTGCAAGGTCCTGAGTTCCAACCCTGGTATTAAAAAAAAAATCCATGTCTGCCAAGATGTATGTATTATACACTAACAGAGCATATTAGCATATTCACACAGTAGAATATAATGTAACTGTTCAAAGTTATCCAATTACACAACATGAAAGAGGTATCTCTTATAAGAACTAGAAGTTCAATGTGGAATATTCTCCCAGATAAAGTACTAAAAGTTTTTGTTGTTGCTTTTAAAGATATAAAACACTGGGTGTGCTGTGGTCTCATTAAATAAGAAACAAAGGAGTACACACACATATGCACACATGCAAGCTTACAAAGGCTTAGAAAATTTCTGAAGGGCTCCACAAGAAGCTACTGGGAAGAAACAGTTGGAAAGAGAAGAGAAACAATAAAGACAATTTTAATTGTACACTATTTTATAGTGCTTTAATTTATTATTAAATATGTATTTTCCTTTTTATTAAAGAAATTGGTACACACCTGTAATCTCACCACTAGGAAGGTTGAGACAGGAGGACTGATGTGAGTTTGAGGCCAGCCTCAGCTACATAGTGAGTTCAAGGCCAGCCTGATGTGAGTTCAAGACCAGCAAGACCTTATAACAAAAAACAAATATACATAAAATAAAAAGGATGATTTCAGAAGAATGATGTGCTCTGTCAAAGAAGCCATCAGCCACAGCCCCATAAAGGTAAAGGAATAAAGAGGCACGAGGCACAAAGAGGACAACACTGGAGAGGAGACCGCAGATGACTAGAGATTTTAACAAACTTTTGGAAGAGCAAACATTTACAAAGGAGAACTAATGAAGAAGCAAAAGAATCAAGTCAGAGCACAAAGTAGCCTCAGATGAAGCTGCCCCAAAGAGGGTAGACATCAGAAGGGCTGAGATCTTGAAAACAAGAGGTTGCATGGAGTAGGATGGAAAAGGATGAAGATGACATCTCAGGAGAAAACAGTCACACAGAACTTTCCTCTCCACCCCATCCCAGAGTGAGTTCAAGGTCAGCTTGAACTGCATAGCAAAACTTTGCCTCAAAAATACAAAAAAAAAAAAAAAGATGCAGAGCCCCATGTTCCAAAATGGAGGTGGCGGCCACAACAGGGTTCCAAAATGATAGCAGCATAAAAAATCTGTTCCTAAAAATCAGGGTCGAGTGCTCAGCTACAGACACTTGACCCCTACAGCCTAAAAAAACAAAGCCTGGCTACTGCTCCAGCTGACAGCAGACCTTGACATCATCCATGTGGCACTGGTTTTAAGCATATGCAAAATACAAGAGTTATGAGGTTAAAAAAGTTAGATTTCAAAAGGCCTGGGAGGCCAGGCATTGTGCACCTAGGAGGGCAGTATATAAAACTGTGAGTAAAAAGCCAATTCAGGTATTTGCTTCAGCAGCACATATATTAAAATTGGAATAATACAGAGAAGATTAGCATGGCCTCCGGGCAAGGATGACATGCAAATTCATGAAGCATTCCATATTTAAAAAAAAAAAAAAAAAAAAAGCCGATTCAGTAAAAATCCCAAAAGTTTAAAACACACACACACACACAAAAAAAAAAAAACAGCCTGTCTTAAAAAAAAAAAGCTACAAAAAGAAAGCAAGGCAGGCCTAAAAAAAGCCATGAGAGCCACCAGCAGAAGTGTCATACGGGTTGAGCCATATAAGACTTCTAGAGCTCACAACTCATTATAGATTCTGTCAGATGTTAAATGTAAAACTACAAGACTTAATGTTTGTCCTGTAAGATTTAAAATTTGCTTTGGTCTCAATGCTTTATATCCTGATGTTGCCACCTTTTAAAATGGTAACTTTATCTTGTGCCTTTAATTATTAAAAGTGTCTGACTTTTCATTTGTACAGGAGCTCACAGCTAAGAGTTTGCCTTAGATCTTAAAAGAGGACTTGAAACTTAAGACTTTTCAGCATTGCTAAAATTGTTGGGACTTTGACAACTCTCACAGATAGACTAAATGCCTTTTACATAAAAAGATGTACATGAGTCTTTGGGGGGCCAGGGGCAAAATGCTATGGTTCTCATATAATATAAGGAGATATACTTAATAGTGATTCTTAATGATAGTTAAACCTGTGTTATAATGTTAAAGTTGAAAAATGTTAATAAGCATATCTTTATCTCTAAAAACTAATTTTAAAAATATGTCTAGTTGCCAAGTTGACAAGGGGTGGATTGTGGTAGTTGATACATTGTGTCAAGGTGAGAAGTTGGAAGCTTGGCTGGAGCTACAGCAATTCCGGGGCATGGAGGGCCCTGCCCTCAAGGGACTCAGCACAAAAAGGATATAAAAGAGTTTTTAAAAAGTTAAAAAATGATTCTGCATGCCACAACTTTCCTCAGAGGAGCTCCAATCTTCATATTCAGTGTTTAAAAAAAAGAGAGAAAGGCTTGCTAAAAGACACAGCTATGTCTCTTCCCTTTGCTCTTTGTTTTCCCGCTGCCATAAATTGCTGCCCTCTGCCTTGTGCCAGTCTGCCTTAGAACCAGCAACATATAGACTAAAACCTCCACTAACTGTGAGCTAAATAAAGAAAGGACAGGTTGGGTGTCAGGGATTTTGTCCCAACAACAAAAAAGAGTAACTGAGACAATGGTAGGTGAAATAAATCAGATCTACGTGTGTAAACACTGTATTATCTCACTAGTGTGAGAACCTAAATAGTGTGAGAGTAAATAAAATTAGAAAGTATAATAGATGCTGTGAAAGGGAAAGAATTTGTTCAATGGGAAGGAAAACCTGGGACGAGGAAAGGGAAAAAAGAAAGAAGGGAAAAAGATATTTACGTATATATGCAGGATAGTTTGGATAATTGTACTGCCAATTTTTGCTGATCTTTTGAAAGGAGCAATTAATTCTTAAAATTCTTTTTCTTTTTATTTTTTTTTTCCTTTTGAATTTCTTATAATTTTTTTGTCATTGTTTTGTTTTGTTTTAAACCAATCTTGCAAGTTTATATCTGTGTAGTGGTTGATACACTGTGTCAACTTGGGAAGTTGAAGGTTTATCAGGTTGGGCTTGCGATTCCATACCTAGGCCAGCCCTAGAGTGATTCAGAACCAAAAGGCTATAAAGGGGAGCTGTAGAAAGCTTCAGTGCTCCACTTCTTCGCAGGATCTTGATCTTCACAGCCGTCAGTTCAGAGGAGCTCGCTGGTCTTCGCAGTCAGCATGGAATGGAGAGGGACAGAGGCTTGATAGGCGCTGCTCCTCCTCTACTCTTAGTTGTTCTCTGTCGCCACAAACTATTGCTGTCTGCCTTGGAGCCAGTGGAGTATGGACTGAAATTTCCACTAACTGTGAGCTAAATAAACCTTTCCTTTCTTAATTTTGGATGTCAGTATTTTGTTCCAGCAAAGAGTAAAACGTAACGGAGACAATCTGATAACCTAAACAATTAATCTGAAGATAACATGCAATACAGTAACCATTGTTGAATTCCTATTACTTTGTTTAGTGAAATTTTGTATTGTTTCTAATGCTCTTTTTTGTCTATCTCTTTTTTCTTCCTAATACATTTTGCATTTAAAAAAATAAAAAATAAAAAATTAGGCCGGGGAGATGGCTCAGTGGAATAAGCACTTCCCTGGCAAGTGCAAAGGCCTGAGTTCAATCCCTGGTTCCACAAAAAATAAATAAATAAAATAAAAAATAATAATAAAATAAAATTAAAA